TCTAGGTCATCAACAGTTGCTTTCAACATTTTAACTTCATTTTTTGATTCTAAGAGTTCAGCTCGAAGACTTTTATTCTCAGCGAGTAGTTTTTTCTTTTCTTCCTCGTTAACTTTCAGAAGTTTTATAATTTCATCATATTTATTACTTGTAAACTGAGTGGCTTTCGTTAATTCTTCCAATTGTTTAGTGAAAGGTTGCAAGCTTTTCGCGAGCTTTTCTTAAAACATAGACTCGATTTAATCGTATGTTACAGGCATATTTCATAAACTGAACATACAACATTTATTACAACACAAAATAACACGTATAAGAAGAGGAAATTGGACGTTTACTTGACTTTTGTTGATAATTTTAGTGGACTCAAGATTTTTGTCGCCATGGAGTGTACCTGAGAGTGTTAAAGGAGATACGAAACCCAACGGGTCGTTAATGTATCTCGTCCCTTATTCCACGCCAGTCCAAGTATGCTACTGTCTCCCATTTCTGGGGTCCCTAATTGCTGTTTCGCGTAGGTAGGATCACCATCTTGAACCTGGGTCGTTTCCAATTCTCGCTCATTCGAGTGCCATTTGTGAAGTTTAAACCCAGCATCCTCGAGGATACTTGTTGCTTTCTCTTTAACTTCTGCAGTCTTTGATACGGTTGTTGACCCTGATATTAGATCGTCCACGTACAACTCCTCACGAAGCTTTCATACTACTTCAGGCTCTCTTTCTATATGAATAAGAGTTCTCCCTTGTTCACTTTGGTGACTTCTACTGACATAGAAAATTTGCCCGATCCTCCCTTGATCTCATCTGCATATGCAGGAGGTCAACCTTTTGGTTTGTCAGGATCTGCAGCCACAAGTTCACAAGGGCAAAGGTATTATAATATGGATGAAAACAATTTTGTTTCTTTGAATGACTAAAAGCTGGATATGAGTTGTGACATATTTTTTGATATTTATTATTTGTTTTAAACTTTGTTAAAGTTGACTATTAACATGATAACGTAATTATGTTATTTATAAAGTTTTACTATAGCCTAGGGAAGCATCACATATTGTTGTTGTCCACATCATGTGGACACTTCTCTGGAGAAAATCCATATTTGACACTTTCTCCTTAATGATGATGTAACTGTTTCATACACCATTTGCGTGTGCAGCATAATTATGCAATAATGGCCTTGTTGATTGTTGAGTTGTTGTTTGGCATTGTTTGTACAATTATAACAAAATGCAAATGTTATAATATTTTATATCTTACTTATAAAATATCAAATTACTACTTTGTAACAAAAAACATTAACAGACACCATTAACATTGTCTCAGTTTTCATACTGTACATATCCATTTTCTCAAGTGATCAACCACACTATGTTAAGTGATCTGGAAGGCAGGTATAGATATAGGATGTCAACACTTTGCGAATAGTGTCACCTTCATTAGTGTTGGTAGAAAATATTGGGTCAGGTAAGTTCCTATGTTCTTCCTCATTTGCTTGCATTAAATCATATTGTGTTTGTACCTGATCTGGGTCAACATATGTGTTGTGCTTCTCACAAAAATTACGCAGTGTAAAACATGCATAAACGACAGTGGGTATTATGTTCAGTGATAAGTCCATTGTCCTTGTTAGGATTGACCAACGTGCCTTCAGACGCCCAAAGGCGCACTCAACTGGGTTTCTTGCTGATCTTAGCATTTGGTTAAAAACAACCTGTTCATTGCTTTTGCAGCTTTCATACTCTTTCATGCAAAAAGGTGTTAAAGGATATGCAGGGTCCCCTATGAGGTAGTTTGGTACAAGGTTGCAGCCAGGAACTACTGATTGAAAGGTTCTTGGGAGTTTGTTACCTTGCAGCCTATGATTAACAGAGGAATTAGCAAACACCTTGGCGTCGTGCACACTTCCGGGCCATACACATTCTATGTCCATGAATTGCCCTCTGTAATCGCAAATGGCTTGTACATTTAATGAATAAAATTGCTTATAACAAAAATAATCTTGCGAGTTTTTGTGTGGCTTTTTAATGGGTATATGTGTCCCATCTATGCAGCCCATGGCTTGAATCATTCCAAATTTGGCTTCGAATTCGGATACTTTTTTTCTCATTTCGTCACAATTGCGAGGCATGTAAATGTATTTCGGTCCAAGGTTTTCAGAAATTGCCTTGCATACTTCTCCGATGACAACAGAAGCTGTATTTATTGAAATGCCGAAAGTATTGGCCGTCATTGGAAGGGAACCAGTATCTTTGAGATAATATAAAGTCACTGCCAGTTTTTTCTCAGTGGACAATGCACGATAATTTGGCGATAAAGGATTTGGTGAAATAAACGGACGAAGCACTTCTGCCAATTCCATGAACCCTTCTCTAGGAAGTCGAAAATTTTTTTTCACGCTTCCTCCGGAGCGGTTCCACCTATCATATTCTGCCACCATTCTTCCGTCCTTCCAGCCTGAACCCAGAATCTTCTCTTCTTTCTGAACAATCTTCTTTGCCTTACATATTTTAACTTACGATAAATAAGAGAACGCCTTCTCGTAAAAAAAGCCATAATTGCATCGTTCCGATACTTGACATGTATTTTCCAAGTCAAAAGAACCATTTGCATTTGAAAAATTAGTGAAAAAATTCCACCTAATGCAGCTGCGATAGCCGGTAAAAACATGATTGTGTTTTTGAAACATCAACAACACATTTTAAATATTCCCGCGAAATAGAACACAATTACGCGCGGAAATTAATTACACTATTTCCGCCGGGCGAGCCCGCCTCATATGAATGCGAAAACAGTTTGGCCCGGCAAAAGCGGGCTACCCGGCTAAAGCGGGCTTGCCCGGCTCATATGAACAGGCCCTTATTAAGTCAATCTCCATCATATAAGAGCTCTTATGTGGACATCAGTAACTAATTCACGCGTTGGACGGTTTACTAGTACAGACCGCACAGAAATTTCTTGGCAAAAATGTATATAAAGCATTATAGAAAATAGCCGAGTGCTATACTTTTTTTAATAAACCGGCAATACAGTAATAATTAATATGGCGGAAATAATTAAAAACTGTTGTCAGCAAATGTTGTCAACAAATGTCGTCATTAAACTTAGTAAAACGGAGTGTCAAAGTACACAGGTCATTTAATAACTTCTTGCGTTTTAACAAGAGAAGAACAAATCTCAAGTAAGTACAATTTGACAAATAGCTTTCAACCTAATTTTTCTTTGTAGTTTACTCAATTTAAATTGCTGCTAAGAATGTGTGATGAATACCACTACGAGTTTTCAGTGCATGTATAAGCGTTTACAGTGTGTGAACTAATGTTTAGTGAATGTTTAGAAACTGACTGAAGGACCTTCTGTTCTTAACTGCAACATTGCTTATCAACCTTTTATCAAAAATTTGTCTTGCAAAATGTTTATAAATCTGAAGTTTTCTAATAAATAATATTAGACCTACCGGGATGTCCTATTTTGCTTGTATAATGAGGCAACATTTCACCTTTGAACGCCTGCGCCTTGTTCATTAATAGATTCCGTGATTGCGAAACTTTGTATATTCAAGTCAGTACATATATACTGTGAAACTGTAACTAAAGTTGTTTAGATCATTGTGTTAACTCATGAAATTTATATTTTGCGTTTTTTTACGTTGTAAAATGTTTTATGAGTCGTTACACCAAGGTGTTAGTACATGAATGCACCTGCTGGTGGCAAAAGTTTGTTTGTTTTCAGCCTAACGATTAAAAAAACAGTTTCGATATGAAGACAATCATCAAGCGACCTAGTCAAAACCTATTCTTGCATAGTTATGTCGGTTAGGAACACGAAGATTATCAGTTAAAAAAGTTGTCCAAAACTGCTGGCTGAGTACCTTCAACAACAAAACGCACACTAACATAAAGATTGCATCACCGTAAATGTAAACATGTATCTTGAAAATTAAATTCACACAACGTCGAACAACTATATATACTGTAAATCATTATTAGGAAATTACTACTATATATTGTATTCATTTCTAGAATATTATACAACGTATAATTATTGTATAATATAGAAATCAAATGGTAAAGTTCTGTTCAACAATCAATGGGACTTAATTGACACTTTATATCGCACTTTTGTAAACAAAAGCAAAATAATTATTTTAATTGCCTGTTCTACAAGATGTAATCGTGAGACTTGATCAATGACATCGCCTGAATAGGACAGAAATGTGCGAAAAGTAAATAAATATATTTGTTTGTTGAGAATATCAGTTATCTTGGGCATCACAATCATGTATCACGTAATATATTTCCGTAAGGGGATTTTTTACGTAAGGGACTTACTTTAAGGCGCGCTTTTTGCACGCAAGTACACGCACAAAAAAGCTTAAAACCTTCTAAGTTGTTGTATAATTAATTTCATGCCAGAAAAACATCAAATCCAACGCTCAAATGCAAAAGAGTCCAACCCTATGCATCTATTCAATTCTCGATTTCATAAATGTCGTTTAAATCGTTTTAAACTTTTACGTACGTGCAAAAACGCAACAGTGGAAAGCAATCCTAAGTCACGGGCGTAGGAACTGGAGGCGCATAGGGGGCACGTGCCCCCTCAAAATTTTTCAAGAGACCAAAGGTGCCCTTTCTGTGACGAAAAATGCCTTTTTGGAGAAGCTAATGCGACTGCTGTAAATACTATTTTAAAACGGAAGCCCTGGCTTTTTGTTTCCTATGTACGTATGCTCACTTTCACGTGACCAAATATTTTTGTACAGCATAAATATACACCGCTCGTGTTCTTGGAGCTTTGGCAATCAAACCGTCCCTATACATATTTTTAGATGCCCTTTTTATTTACCAAAAGTGCCCCGGGAAGCTGGCGGTCCCCACAATCTCTGGATGCTTCGAAGCTACGCCCCTGGTCCTAGCACTTGTTGCATAAATATATTCGCATATGCTTAAAGCTTTCGTTGATCGATACAAAAAAAATTCAAATATTCAAAATTCTTGTTAACAGGATTTTTGTGGAATGAACAAAAGTGTCGTGCTCATATTGCTCGTTGCCGTAGTCAACGCAGCACATTACAAGCATGGTCATGCTCATCACAAAATTGACGACGATAATCGAAAGCTTCGCGACGGCGCCAATCCTGATGAAGACGATTACCGCAACTTTTGCTCCAGGATCTCATCGTTTCAACCTCAGAAAGCACAGTCAGAACTGACTGAAGTTCTTCAAAGACTTCAAGATGACGGCCTCCTTCCAACGTCGAATCCTAACAAGAAAGCCGAAGAAATTTGTGAGCACCCTGGGAATTATTCCAGCCGCGTATGCTCGTACTTTCGCAAATACGAAATGATCAACAGCATTCTTCTTGATTACAATATGGTAACAACCGAGTCTGATGTCAGACCGTTCTACCTACGTATGTGGTGTAAGCATCCAGAGTGTCTAGAGTTCAAAGCACGAAACTGTAAGATCGTGTCTCACCGAAACGAGGGTCTTCCTGGCTACGTTGGTTGCACTGGTTTGCATGTAGCAGCCCTTGACCCCAAGACGAGCATCCAACTGAGAGAAGAAGTCACAAAAATTTGCAAGGTCGACAAATACGCTGGTCCATTTTGCCTGTCCGATAAAATGATTGGAATTGTTGATCGATGTTCAAGAAAAGACGAAATGAAGAGCTTTCTTGATGCAGACCAATTTAACAACGCCATTTTGCTGAACTACGCAGCGTTGAAATCAGTCGATCCTGAGAACTTCGCTGAAGTTCAACCATCGAACCAGAAAGAGCAGGAACTTTACTCTGGCAACCTTCAGGTAATATTTGATCTTTTCAACCAAGCAAAATATGCTGAGCTTGCAAAGTACATGGAATTACTGCCAGGCTCGATAGATATCGTTCCCTCGTGCACCAGCATGGCGACGGCCGGTTTTGACGAATCGAAACAGCGCGAATGTATTCTGGGAAGAACAATCGATCAAGTTAAGCAATTTTTGCAGTTATTACCGGAAAATAAACCCAGTCTGGGCGGTGAAGAGAGGAAAATTTTGAACACCAAAATTGATTACAAGGAGTATCTCAAACAAGGACAAATAGAAAGGATTCTCGATGTTGTCCAAAATCAAGAACTTACAATTTTTACCATCACCGACAACCTGAAAAAGCAGTTCGACAAAAGTGTGGGAGAAAGGTTTCAAGAAATGAAAACATACTTCAGTCAAGTAGAAGGGTTCAACAAAGAGATTGCGAAGGCCGATATTGGATATATTAGTGGAACTCTGAATACTTACGAAACCTCGATAGAGAATCTAGCCCGTGAAGTAGCAACTGGGCTTAGTGACTTACTCCTATATGCCATCGGGACATCGTCCGCAGACCTCATTCAGAAAACTGCTGTACTTGCAATGCAGATCGCAGACGCTTGTAACCCTTTAAAGACCTTGTTTGGCGGAGGTGCAGCTACAGATGTTCTCGGTGCAGCGGACGAGTTAGCACTAGCTATTGCAAATGTTGCAAAGTCAGCAAAACTGCAATCGTCATTCGGAGAGCTGATTGACAAAACTGAGAAAATTATGAATAAATTTGATGACAACAGCGAGTTCTTGAGAACGGTTAAGGAATTGTTGAAAAAAATTGATGCTGAAGAAACCTCGGATTCGTCTTTCGAGGACAATAAGATCACATTTATAGAGAAATACAACGCGTACACGCCCGGTGTAACGAAACCAGAACTCACTGAAATGACGGCCACATGGGAAACTGTTTTGGATGAGGCCTGTAACGTTATAGATGGTGCTGAAACAACCGGAGCAGCCGCCATAAAGGCGATAGTCGATGGGTTGGGGCTCTGCTGGAAAGTTAAGATTAAAGCCCAGAAAATGATTGAAACATATTGCGAAATTTACGACTTTCAATTTGATCTGATGGACGCATTGGCTGCTTATGTGCGATCAGCCACCGCCGTAAATGCTGCTAGTGATATGAACGAAAATTATGCACAAGTTGCTCAGTCCAATCCAGATGATATTCTGTACTTCTTGCAACAACTAGCGGGATTATCTTTCATTATGAACAAGATTCAAATGATGCAGACGGTGGAAGCCTACTGCGACGTTTTGGAATACAAGGAAGGAGCAGTGCGGCCCAGTGTATGTAGAGGACTGGACACTGATGTAAAAGGTCTTATAGCTCATGTTGAGAAAGAGTGTTCAAGCAAAACACTGCAATACAGGAACGTACCTATGACGCCAGCGAAAAGTGGGGACAAAGCGTTTTTGAATATTACAGAACTGTTTGCTGGAAGGCCCGTGACATTCCAAATACCCGATGGGCAGTGGTTGGTGGACAATGAATGGATTAATGAAGACGAAAAGAGTGCGGCAATTTACCTTCGGAAATTTGAGGTTTTCTTGCCAACAGAGAGCCAGACGTCACGAGATATACAAGTTGTAACAAAAATTACCGGTGGAAACTACTTGACTGATGATAAAACCGAATACCTGATCACTCCTCCTAGACCTTTAGTTTTCGACTATGCCGAGGGTCGCGACACAGTATGTCGTCAGGAAAGTATTCGCAATCCGTACACGTTGTGTGCCACTGATGCCCCAGCAGAGATATGTCCACATTCTCCAGAAACAGACTGTGTCGAGGTCCCGACAACTGTTCTCTACGGCTCAATTTTTGCACAATTGAGCGTTCGCCTTCGTGGTTATCCTTCCAGTCTACCAATTCCAGACCCAGCGACCCAAGCCTCGGTGAAAGTAGGCGTCCAACTTTGCAAGATGAGTGATTTGGTTAAAGATGCAACGGTATCACATACGAAAAAACCTGGTGTGGCGAAGAAACATTGGTCGAAGAAGTTGCGAAAAGACTCCAGTAGCAGACGGTGTTGTGGGGATGGACAGTACTGGAATGAGAAGGAGGGCTCGTGTCAATCGTGTCCGAATGGATCTGTTCGACGACTTCATGGTTACTTCTGTGACAATAACCACAAAACACTAAGTTCTTAAACTTACTTAAGCTTCATTATTTATTTGGGGAATATAGACTTTTTGGGGGAACTTGATTTACAACAACATCAAAATAAATTGTATTTGGCATTGGCAGAGGAGTGACTTTGGAAATAGTAAAGTTCTCTTGTAAGTTGTAAATATTCATTAATATCCATACAATAATTATTTGCTTAAACTTTGATTTGTGCGTTACAAGTAGCGATGAATGAAACTCAACAGGCAATGACGCAGTCTTAGGAATAAAAGGTGCAGGTATAGTGTGGTTTATTAGATCCCCTTAAAATCGTTGCCGGTTGCCATACGTATTTTTAAAAAACATCTTCTTCACCTCTTGTTCATGCACTAATTAAAACATAAGTTCAGCCATTAAATAATTTAAGTTTAAAAGGAATTCTATACGAATGAATTTTAAATGCTGGTAAAAGGCAAGAGCTAGGGCAAGCTTCCGTCCCGGTGTTTCTGACATAAATATTGCTGTTCAACAGGATTTTCAGGACACTCAACCTAATTTTACCGCTTTTTGTAGCTCTCCCTAACCTAAACAGATCCTATATACATGGTATCCAATACAAATTTCACAACGGCTTTGCTAGTTTCCAGTTTTCACTCGTCTTAAACGCAACTTTGAAAAACGTTCAATATTTATTGCATAATGGCGGACAACTTTAATTTTATATTTGCATTCCCGGGCGGAATGACACCGCAGAAATTGGTGTTTAAGACGTTTCAACCCGAAAATCTAATCGCTGGTTCACAATTGTGCATTTCTGTATCGCCCTATCAAAGAGAAACCTTTTGAATATCTTAAAAAAGTTCAATTTTTCTTCTGAATACGCATTCTGCAATCTTTTGACAGCTCATCATACACATCTGACCGCTGTGAAATGGCCATTTTGAGGCTTAAAGTATACACAAGGTTATTAATTCAGACGATTCGTTTTTACCGTGAGCAAGCTTCAAATCTTTTGTGCAAGACATATTTTCTTGAATATTTATAAATCTTTTTCCTCACCAAGTTTGAAGTCTAAGTATCGAGAATTGCGGCTAAGCCTATACCAATTTCCGCGGTGTCGGGCGGAATCAGGAAGTAGTACCGTCGCGCCGGCTCTGGGATCATAATCTTTTTTTAACTTCTCTATCGATCGAGCATCTCTAGCAAAAACCATTACTGGAAAAAAAGGGGGTTTACCGAACTCATTTGCGATTTAGAGAACCCAATTAAAATTTATTTAGTGGCCATTTTGAAACATTTTTGTTGCTATAACAACGGCAAACAGGCACGCGTTTTAAATAGGTTTTGGCCTGGATAACCTGCTTGACAGATATATGCAATTTTTGTCTTCTAGCCAAACATTTAATCGCTTAGTTTATGTCCTCCTACGTATGAATGATAATCAGGAATGGACGAATCAAAGAATAATCAGATATATAATTAGACAGTAGGTTGTTAATATAGAATCTTCAGCTCAGCACGTAATTTAGGGAAGAACAAAACAAAGATGATTAGGCAAAGTTTTGCGGGGCCACTGGCAATTAGATTTAAACAAAAGACTGCAACCAGTGCACGTTCACCCACAGACGCAAGGCAAAATCTAAAGTTATGGCGATGATGATTTCCTTTCCACCGTGCTAAGTGGAAGTTAGGCAAATACTGCTCTTTGTACTTGCACCTGTTATATATTTCTATATAGTTCAGCACATGCCAATGGGCTTCGCGTTTCGTGCCAAAATTTGACCAGTCTGATGGCAATCTGGTATCGTGTGAACTACCATCACAACTGGTCAAATTTTGAGAGGCAGTGAAGATTTTTAATATCCTAGACCTGAAATACACCAAATCTATCAAATTTATAAGCATTGCACGCTTGCTTCATAACGGCAAAATAAAGTATGATAATAATGACGAGCAAAACCAGTGCCGTGTGAACGCAGCCTTAAATATAGAAGACGATAAGTCACATAATGCAAGATGTATTTGAAGTTTACGAAACTAGTTTGATCATTTTACATGCATATTAGAGCATTATATTAATGAAATGTGAATCATTATAATCGTGCTACGCTAATTTTAATTCAATAAAAATGGGATGGTCCTTAATTAAAACAATTGTCCTCGTTCCAGTCATTCTTTTCCATTGTCCATGGTTGGTTGTTTCTTGATCTACCACCCGCTGGACTAAAAAATGATACATATAAAAATATTAGACAACAACATAGCATGACAAAACTTTTCATATCAACAACATAGGCTTAAAATTATTAGAACAGACTGAAATGAAACGCGTCGGAATAATTAATTATAAATATCCACGTGCATTATTCACGCCAACCACGATTGAAATAGGCTAGAGCATTAAAAAATATTCTACAGCAATTATAGACATAATTATAGCTAATGAAAAGTTCTTACCCCGCTACAAGTGTTATGTTTCAGCCATTCATGATAGTTCTCATAATATTTTTTCTAATAAAAAAGTACATTCAACGTTAAGCTTTTTACTTCCCTGGTATATTTTTTGAAATGAACATACGAACTCGGAAGTATTCCAAAAAGCACCCCTTTCAAACCTTCGGGACCGAAACTAGAGTGATAATTTAGGGTAGAGGTAAAAATTCATATTATATTGTGACCGAAGGATTTCTTTGGAAAACATATATACCTGCACCAGTCATAGAATGCAGCATCTTCACATCACGCCTTATTACTCTTTGATTCTAGTAGCAGAGTCAGTCTCTTCCCCCCCCCTCATCGTTACACTCTCCCCCCCGCTACATGGCTTGTATTGTACATGCATGCCACAGGAAGGGGAACCTCAAAAATTGTATCTAAGCCATGCAAGCGAGTAATGAAAATTTCCTTCTTGCAGCCGGACGACTTAGCTTCCTCATTTAAAGTAGGCCTATTAGATTCAGCTAATGAGTGCTTTGGAAACGTGTGCTTGGCGAATTATTTAAAAGAACGAGTGCGGTATTCTTATATATCGCTGAATCAAACAAAAGTGTGATGTTTCACAAATGCTTTAAGACAAGTGCAATTTCTTATCAACACAATTTCCTAATTGGAATATAATCAAAATACGTACTGCAGCAGGTATATCGTGCTCGTAGTGTTCACGAACTTCCTCCCAGGAACAACATTCGTGATAGCACTCGTGGTTTAATCCGCGCCGAACTGTCTTAAAGGATTTGGCATCCTCTTGGTTTAGCATGATTCCATCCATGACGGTATCTGCACCTGAATATCAGCATCCTAGATTAAATACATGCTAACCACGCTCACTCTTTTCAGCTACCTCAGTAGCGATGGCATTCCACCTGTATCGCAGACAACATATATATGTATATATACCCATTTGCAAAAACGTTGGCCGCAGATAGATATATAGATAGATACTCGAAATCTAATTAGAATTGCATATGTTGAGTAATATGATTGAAATCCCATGCAAATGTAATCATATGCAATTCTAATTAGACTTCGAGTATCTATCTATCTATCTATCTGCGGCCAACGTTTTTGCAAATAGGTGTATATATATATATATATATATATATATATATATATATATATATATATATATATATATATATATATATAAATTATAATGTAATCTTCTCGTTTTCAAAGAATAGAAAGTGCTCAATACAAGACAATTTTGTAGAGCATTTAATTTAATGTTTTCATTACAATTTTTGAATGAATAAGTTGCTACTTCAAGTTTCATGCAACAAGCAATCATCAGACAACATACTAATTACGGTTAAGATGTCACGTATTACTACTCGCGATGTATTTGCTAACGCGTGTTCGTTTAAACTGTCCAGCGTGGAATTTGCGCGCGCGCACACATTTTGTGAAAAGTTCACTTTTTTGTTTAAGTTAGACCTAGAATAACAATTACGTAGTATTTGCAATTTCTCCTCTAAACATAAATTACACGATTTTCCTCCAGCCTTGATTGAATTTGCTAGGGAAACGATAGACCACTTAATATTATATTGTTTTTCATTTTGTTTCAATTTCCAAACATGCTTAGATAGTTCCGTTTGTTTTTCGTATCTAATGTCGTTGAATGACCTCTTGTGATTTCTTTCTTTAAATGTTGTCGCTGTCATACCAATGTATGTTTTCGTTTCCTTCGAGTCTTCGGCTTCCACCTTGGCCTTATAAACTAGATTTTTTGTCAAGCACATCTTATTTAGCGGGCACTCGTTCATGTTCCTGCAGTTACATAGGTTTTCATTTTTGTTGCCGTTGTCGGGTTGTTGGGAATGATATTCTTTGAGCACGCGTTTATTGTGCTTTGATATGACACTTTTAATATTATTCATACAGCTATAGCTAACTTTGACAGTGTTCCTGTTTAATATTTTATGGAGGGGTGAAGATTTGGGAAAATGTTTGTCAATTAACTTCAAGAATTCCCGAGCGACATTGGTTTGTACGGTCTTACTGTATGGAAGGTTGAACCAAATGACTTTTCTGGCTCTTTTGCGCTGGGAATGGCTTTCGGTTGAGGATTTGATTTCTTGGGTTGAAAAATGGAGTTTAGAGGTGTAATTACTGTGCTTCAGGTAGTCGTTGTAAATGGGAGCAACAGATTCAAAAATTTGCTTGTTAGATGAGAGTGCTGCAATTCTGCGACTGATGGCCTCTGGGAGTTGTTTCGTGATTGACGGTGGATGGTTTGATTCTTTGTGAATGTAGAGTGGATCGTTGTTGGGCTTTCGGTAAGGTTAAGGTTATATAGGTATATATATATATATATATATATATATATATATATATATATAATATTATATATATTTATATATATATATACTACGTAATTGTTATTCTAGGTCTAACTTAAACAAAAAAAGTGAACTTTTCACAAAATGTGTGCACGCGCGCAAATTCCACGCTGGACAGTTTAAACGAACACGCGTTAGCAAATACATCGCGAGTAGTAATACGTGACATCTTAACCGTAATTAGTATGTTGCCTGATGATTGCTTGTTGCATGAAACTTGAAGTAGCAAATTATTCATTCAAAAATTGTAATGAAAACATTAAATTATATATATATATATATATATATATATATATATATATATATATATATATATATATATATATAAGTAACAAATGTCCAAGATCTGCTCAGTAGACGAAACATAGATATATCAAACACAAAGTCTACTACGAATCAAAGTATATTTGAATTTGATTCGTAGTAGACTTTGTGTTTGATATATATATATATATATATATATATATATATATATATATATATATATATATATATATATATATATATATATATATGAAAACATTAAATTATATATATATATATAATTATATATATATTATAGAATAATAGAATAAATTAATAAGTTGCGCACTTTCTCTTTCCGCATTGGCGCTGTTGTCCGCTTCCCGCACTGGCGTTAACTCTCCCTGTGAAATATATAAAGTATTAATAAGTACTTTGCAGAAAGTTTAGATTACTTTGTTTATTTGTTTCCGTAACCATGCATGCATGGCAACAGACGCTTTAACGCATGCAACGTTAGAAATATTAAGGAGTTACAAAATATAGTTTTAAGGCCTTGATACACTAGGAAATGTTTCCGAAACAAAGTTTCGGAAACAAGTTTCGGAAACAAAAGTTTCGTGTGTATCATAAAAAGTTTTCCGAAACTTTTGTTTCGGAAACTGGAAATTTTGTTTTGGAAACTTGTTTCGGGATTAGAGCAATGTTCTATTTTCTGAAACATGTTTAAGAAACTTTTCAATGATAACCAATCAAGCGAGCCATTTCAAACCACGTGACGATGCAGATTTCGGGCATTGGAATTTTATGGCGGAGCAAGATGGCCGGTGGGAAAGAGTTTTGGAATTGGGAAAAAACTGAGCAATTCATAGCATTATGGGAAAGCAAGCTATGTCTGTATGACACGACAAAAGAAGAATATCACGATCGGAATGCCAAGAAGAAAGCAAGGGAGGAAATGTCCAAATTTTGCGATTTCGTCGTCTTCTGGCTATCCTCCTCAGTATTATATTGACAATGAGAGCACCGCAAATAGCTACTAATCTTCTCTTTTTTAATTTTTGCGCAAAGAACTCCCTTTTTAACATTTTTAATCCTATTTAATGCATACTTGCAATTTTCCCGCCAAATTTAAACTGCGTAAACTATTCAAAACGTGTATATCCGATTGTTTCGGAAACTTGTGTTTCCGAAACTTGTTTCCGAAACTTTGTTTCGGAAACATTTCCTAGTGTATCAAGGCCTTTAGTGCTCACCATTTTACTGGCTGTAGAAAAAGTGGTCCATGTTAACAAGGTGACGATGAAAACTTTTACATACATGATTTTATGCCTATAAGAACATATTGAAAATTCAAATTTCAAAGGATTAAAAAGAACTAATTATGTAACTTCATATTGGAGTAGCATTGTTCGACGCTGATTGATTGAGATGAGTGCTTATTTTTCATTTACAGTTTTTTAATTCCAATTGTGCCTAATTTTGCTAAAAAATGTTGGGCTTATCTTGGGAGATATAATAAAATCCTTTATAGAATTCTTAATCATAAAATATTATACAAGAGAGTCTAATTTTTCTAGTATTTGAAACAAATATACCAATAAAAGTGAAGTAAACATGACCCGTTTTTCCGTGACATTAAGCAGACAGTTTATGGACTCTCGAAATTTGAGTTACGCGGTTAAAAATTTAACATTTATAAACAGTACAAAAATCCTCCTAAAATATAATAATTAGCTGATTGCAGCTGACCGAATATATATATATATATATATATATTATATATATATATATATATATATATATATATATATATATATATATATATTATATATATTATTATATATATATATATATTTATATATATTATTTCTCCGTCAACTTAATTGAAGAATCACTAAGCTGGAGTTAGCGTTGGGCATCCTCCTCGCCTCTTTAACTTCTTCAACAATTATAGCCTGCCTTATAAATATTTTGCACATTTGTGGAACTTCAAAGCTTCATGGCAAGAAAAATGATTTTATTCTATCTTTAGACTAAAAAACACAATGAGCTCACCTTTTTGGCGAACCAAGAAACGCATAAAATTGAATAATGGTCGCGATCAAAGTTATTAGTCTAAAACGACGCATTCAAAGTTTATACTTATTGTTTTTTTGAACAACGACAGAAGTCATTTTGCTGAAACGGAACTTATGATGGATTACGAAATACGAATATGTAAAATTTAGTACTGCCATGATAAGAGCGCGCTCTCCTCTGCACTGGCCTCTATAACATATCCTGTTTTATTTGGTGAATTTTGTTTCTACAGCTATTTCGTTGTCAGATTTTTGATATATTTTTCATGAAGTCTATATTGTGTAAGAGGATATGTGGAGATAAAAAGGATAGAAATACAACTTCATGTAAGATAGGCATGAACGCCTCGATCAAATTATAAAGGTGCGCGAAGTTACAAGTTATCGCCTCTACTATTGCCAAGTCACACGGTCAATGCCTCTACCATAACAATGTATATTTAAAAGAAAACTCTGCGGACGAGAGTGTAATAAGAACCAGGCATTTTAATATAAGTAGCAGTAAAAAAATTAAAATGACTAGAGACAGAGTACACGACGGGCATAATGTGCAAAGTTCAATTCACCGCTAGCCGTATTTGTATTATAGCTATAACACAAATAATGTGGTTAAATGTAAATGGTGCAAAAGACACCGGAAAGTTATATATTTCACTGTTCGGCAAATATTTATCAAAACAAAAGGTTTAAAAACTTTAAAAAGTATACAACGCGGGAGCACTCTGTACGTTTATCCATGCAAACAAAGTTTTGGCAAACATGATAAACATGATGGCGGGTGCTTATTTTTGGGTTGTTGATCATTATATAAAATTTCAAAAATATTTTGTGAAATGTTTTTGGAATTCCTGTTCAGACACCCTTTCGAGTACTAATAACGAAGCAGACACCACGTTGTGTTCAAGATTCGAAACTTGACAGTAATATTGTTTGTGCATGACCTAACCTCAATAGCTATAAAGTTATCGTCTTTTGTAAAATGCAACAGATTAGTAAAATTGCAAAACTATAGTAACAGCTAGAATTAATAAGATTTGAGACAAGAGAAAATAAAACTTACTTATATAATGGGGCAACTATATTATCTGACACTTTAATAAAACATATTCCATATTAATTTCGAGGCTTTTCAATTCGAGCTGCATTTCTGCCATGCATTCATCTTCTTGCGCAAGTCTGCGTTTCTAAACTAATTTCTAGCAAATTGTTGTTCGGGGCAGGATGTATATTCGAAGGAGTCAAACAACTTTCATGTACACACAAAATGACTTCCTTATAGAGATCTTTAATTACTACTAAAATATTTACCATGTCATGCATTATACCATATAATTTACTTCTCCGTAAACTTAATTGAAGAATCACTAAGCGGGTGTTAGCGTTCGGCATTCTCCTCACCTCTGTAATTCTATAACAATTATAGCCTGCCTTAAAAATATTTTGCACATTTGTGGAACTTAAATGCTTCATGGCAAGAAAAATTATTTTATTCTAGTAGACTAAAAAATACAATGAGCTTACCTCTTTGGCGAACCAAGAAACGCAGAAGATTGAATAATGGTCGCGATCAGAGTTAAGTCTGAATTAGTCTAAAACGACGCATTCAAAGCTTATACTTATTGCTTTCTGAACAACGACAGATGTCATTTTGCTGAAACGGAACATATGATGGATTATGCATGAATATGTAATTAGTACTGCCATGATAAGAGCGCGCTCTCCTTCGCACTGGCCTATATAACATATCCTGTTTTATTTGGTGATTTTTGTTTCTACAGCTACTTCTTTGCTAGATTTTTTATATATAGGGGATAAGAATACAACTTCATGTAAGATATATAGGCATGAACGCCTCGATCAAATTATAAACGTGCGCGAAGTTACAAGTTATCGCCTCTACTATTGCAAAGTCACACGGTCAATGCCTCTACCATAACAAAGTATTTAAAAGAAAACTCTGCGGATGAGAGTGTAATAAGAACCAGGCATAATAATATATATAAAAAGCAGTAAAAATTTAAATGACCAGAGACAGAGTACACGATGGCATAATGAGCAAAGTTCAATTCGCCGCTAGCCGTATTTGTATTATAGCCATAACTGAAATAAAGTGGTTAAATGTAAATAGTGTAAAAGACACCAGCACATTATACATTTCACAGTTCGGCAATCTATTTATCAAAACAAAAGAAAAGGTTTAAAAACTTTAAAAAGTATACAAAGCGGGGGCACTCTGCATGTAAGTTTATGCAAACTTAATTGTGAAACCCCTTGAAGGTGTCTGGAGTCTTTAAAAAGCTTTAACGTCAAACGACATACGAATCTCGTGAGTTTCACTATATACTATCCTGGTTAAATTGCTGAATTACTAAAATTTTTACTGCCCGTAAAACATTTCCTAAACTTGTCACGAGTTGTAAAATATCCGGCGCAGATTTAACGAGCCCTACAAATTTCATGTATGAGATTCACCAGTTGCATGCCCACGATTAATATATAATCAAGTCATGCACGTACAACTCGTAAAATACTCCTTAAAAGTTGTCATGCGAGTTGTGAAAATTCACAGATTTGACTGACTTGTTTGCAATTTTGCATGTACCAGTTGCCTACCTGCATCAATATATATATATATATATATATATATATATATATATATATATATAATATATATATAATAAATATATATATATATATATATATATATATATATATTAATATATATATATATATATATATATATATACACCCGTTTGCAAAAACGTTGGCCACAGATAGATATATATATAGATGGATACTCGAAATCTAATTAGAATTGCATATGTTGTGTAATATGATTGATATCCAATGCAAATGTCATCATATGCAATTCTAATTAGACTTCGAGTATCTATCTATCTATCTATCTGCGGCCAACGTTTTTGCAAATGGGTGTATATATATACATATTTTTATATATATATATATATATATATATATATATATATATATATATATAATCAATTATACGATTCATCGAATTCTAAGTAGTCACAAGCTACGTAGTTTAGTTTTTTTATTTTAAATTGAAATATGCCCACTTATGCCTACAAGATCTTTTTTCTGTTTCGACGATGATATACGAAATGAAATTAAACTTGCCCATGCAAGCCACGAACAAATTATAGTTACAGCGGAGCGAATAGTAATTGTGGAATAGTCTCCCTGAATACGTGCGAAAGCTTCAATTTCTTCAAAAGCTTCAACGAATGCTCTGATTAATGTGAGTTCTTATTTGAACATCAGTAGACAGTAACTTATTCACTCGTTCTTATCCATCAAAAGAGGAAAATCGCACATAAAAACGCAGCAATTGGGCCGTAAGTGGTCAGAGTTTCTTTTTGTTAAGGCATGCTCTATTATATTCCAATCCATCAACTGTATACATAAATTTAATTTAGATTTAAATTTGGTCTATAATTCCATAGATTTCATAGACAAGTGTAGCAATGATTCCCCATCAATGATAAACCAAATATGGTAACGCAAATGCAAAATATAATGTTATCCGTCCTAAATATATTATCATGTAATCGCTTATATATAGATGCAATTTTGTTTTGTATATAACAGAGTGACATAACTAACTGAGAAAGTCTTTCACACATCACTTCAATAACTTAAAAAGTCTTTTGTAAAGTTTAGCCGGTTTAAAATGGTGTGAAGTTCAAAGTTATAGGTTACAGTTGCTAATAATATAAACAAACGCCTTTTTTGTTTTGTTTGTAAAATCGTATGTTTCTGCCTTCGTTCCCCTGCAGAAAAATTGAACCCGAACAATATTAATATTCTTGCATATTTAAGTGGTTGCGTTTTTTTTAGACACACTGTACATGAAAATTCTTCTCAGCCAATCACTGAGCTCCATTTCACCGGAAGTGATGCTTGCCATATAATAATGAGCGGTGATACATTTTGACTGCTCTAGCGTGAATCGACTCCAAATTTTGCTTCCAGAATTCAACTTATATCTTTCTGAAAACTGAGAATTCGCATCGCGTTTCCGTATCGCGTCCCAAAATCCAATTTCCACATCCCTGTTTTCATGGTGAGCTGGAATAAATATGACGAATTGAATTTTTTTTCGCAAAGTGGAAACACTGGAAGCAGATTTAAAATATGTTCACACTTCAGATTTCAGAAAGAGTCACACATGTGCTATCGAAGCGGTACTGAATTCGTTGTTTTTAAAACGAAATGAATGAACGATATGTTGAAAAATACGCAAACCGAAAACTTCCAGTATTTATAAAGAAACATAATTTCAAATTTGTACCTGAAAGACAGAAAAGGCGAAGAAATATCGATCAAATTTGCACCATGTTATCCTGACCTGGCAACTCAGACCATGTAATGTGGCACAGAGATTATGGTGGAGAGTTCACTCAGTCTTTTGTCGTGGTAAGTATAACCAAGAGTTTCAGTAAATTTTGTCATCCTCGCGATAGAACATTTATTTTGATTCCTGAAACTTAGCACTTAAAGATAGCCTTACATGGAACTTCTAAAATTTAATATAAATAGTGTTGCTTGTTGGCTCTGTAGCTATAGTTCATAACCGCACTTGGTCATAGTTTTTGCCCGATGGCAATGATATATTTCCAGCATTGCTCATGAATTAACTCAATTAAGGCTGTCATATAAATGTTCTCATTATTGAAAACCAGCTCATTATAAAAATTAAACACAAAGATCATCAATTATGCAACTAACATTTTATTCAGCAACTTGATTTGCCCATGGGTTATCACTAATTGTGTCAACATTTATTTTGCATGTTGGTCAGCAAAGATTACAAAACAACATATAAAAGAACAGACTACACCTACCTTGTTGTATACAACTAGCTGACTGCAAATGCTTGGAAGTCAGACTTTCAAGCTGACCTGAATTTACTAATATGGCAGTATATCGGAAATTCAAATGTACTAATATCAATAAGGGTTCTTCACACAAGTGCTGTAAGATACCTAGGGTAAAATCTGGTAGTTAGACTGCATTTTGGTGCCTTAGAATTTAACATGGAAATAATGTGTTATGTGTACACATTTTGGGTTGGTGTGTATTTTGAAGATGTCAGTTAGTTAACAAAAATGGACTCTGTTTTATGCAATGAAATCAGGTGGAGTGTGTCAGCTTGAACCTTTTCTGAATCAACAAAATTAGTTCTCTAAGTGGCTAAACAAAGATAAGATAATTTGGCTTATGTGATGAGATTTGGTGTTACGGGATGAGATTTGGTATTCAAATTATGGTTATTTTTCTACAGAATTGTACTGTGATTTGCTTTGAATGGAAGCAATCAAACTACTGGTATATTTACCTTAAATTTTGCTGTGCTCATACAAAGGATTTCACGACTCATATTGGCGAATATTATAAATCATTGCTTAATTTATGTGGGTATTTTGAGTGAAATACACCTATTGCACTGAATTTATTTTGAGAACTTTCACACTGTAGTCGGTTATTTTGTATTTCCTACAATCTCTAACTCTCCTGAAAAGTTTTATTACATATAGCCTAAAACTGTTGTTTTGATTTTTGAATAGAAATATTTTTCACAGAATGAAAATTTGCTTCTGGGGGATATAAAAGCTGACAGATGACATGGAAATGCTATGATAAATTTATAATTTTTAACTTTCAATTACCACTAGTGATAATTAACACAATTTGATTACCACAAATTACCAAATTTCATGTAAATTATTCAGGGCTAAGGTCCTAATTTCCTCTATTTCATGGCCCCTGAGATTATAATGCCACTTGTTTCCTGGTCACTAATTAGGCATTTGGTCCAATATAATACCATCAATGATGTCTGCCTCTGAAGAAAAAAATCCTATTTTCTAGAGGCAATGAATTGAAGATAGGACTTATTCCTGTTCATTTTTTTGGCAAACAGTTGGGTCATGGTGTCCAGGTACCAATATAAATTATGATGTTGTTATCCAAGAAATGCTACTTCTCAATATAATTGACATAGTTGGCATAGAATGTAACTCAATTATACAATTTTCTTTCAGACAGGTTTATTGAATACTCCTGCTGTAAAATATCCAGCTGAAAGGATTTTTCAACAACGAAAGGTGCCTATTCTTTAAACAAATCTGGAATCAAGGTTTGAGCCATGTTCATGGAGGTAACAGATTTTTACTTCTCTTCACTGAAATAGTTCACTTGGCAATCTTGAAAATTGTGCCTGCCATTAAGCCAAAATTTATCCTTTGGCATGGTATTCTCACTATTCTATTTCCTTTATCTCTTCCATATTCTTTATTGTTCTCTAAAATGCTTTCTCTTTGCTTATTTTATGGTTTATTAGTTATTATGTGTTCATTTAAATGTATGTCCTGTCCTGTCAGTTTGTCTTGTTATCATACTGTAATATTGTTACATAGAACCAAGGTAGCCTTGGTAATTGCAACTGTAGCATTGGTAATTTCCACGAAACTAAAATTGCGGGGGCTGTCAACTAGCTGTTCAGTACGTTAGGTGCTGGTCTAGTATAGATATAAAACAGTGTTTAATTTCAATTTCTAAATTTCAATTTTAAACAAGAGGTCTTACGTGCTTAAGTTTTAACGCATTGTTGTTCTCAGACTTATCTTTTGTTGACATAACTTGCAATAAAGCTCCGCAGCTACTTTCGATTTGTAACACAAAGACACACGCACGTTGAATCCAGTTTCTAAGTGTCTTTTATTTAATTCTCGTGCTCCCTATATACCTATGCTCAAGACTGTCATATCTAATTGCAATATATAGTGCACTGTTACATTCGCCCTTCGCTTAAATTTTCGTCCCCGAACGAGGACGTATGTCTTGCTGAAGTTGATAACGTTGGGGGTCGGCTCTAGGCCTACGGGGAGGTGGTTGTTCCACGAGGTGCTCTGGCAATGCGTGAACCACTGCGAAATCACCCGACTCGCGACCAGGAGCAACGATTCGGCCGCTATCCAGTGGTATATAGCCTGTCTTAAGGTTGCCGTGATGACTACCATCATTCGAACTAATTGGATAAGTCGTCCCCATTCTCTTCATATAATTTTATTTGACGATCAAATTTGCATTTTATCCGATAACAACCAAACCCCAATTATCAATATTCCTTAGGCACGTTGGAAATAGCAGGCTATCTCCCCCACGTGACCTTCCGCCAATCAAATCAATAGTTATATATTAATTAAATGATTCAACATTCTCCCCAACAAAAAAATGTTTATGAATATTGTTCTTTAAGTCTACGAAGATCTCGTCCTTCGATTGCAGCCTTTCTCAGAGGTCGTCTCGAGTTGCTTTCTTTTTCTTTCGCCGCGACAACAGAATATTCATTCTTCTTCGTCTCTTCTCCTTCATTCTCTCCTTCGTCTACAGTAATTGAGTTAATTTTCGCGGCAATGTGATAAAATCGATAGCGCGATTACAACTAGTCCAAAGCATGAAAAGGAGCCCAAGCACATAGATAAAAAGCGCTGTTATGAGACGATTTGCCTTCGCTTCCCATTCGGTTAGCACTGAGGGAATCGTGTAGATAGCGGAGGTTTGACATGTTTCCTCGCATTTCTTAGCTACTAGACGTGATAAGACATTTGCATTTAAATGCGATTTACCTGGCCGATGTTGAACCACAAATTCGAACTCTTGCAAATCCATTAGCCATCTCGCTAAACGCCCCTTCGGTTCGATGGGATTTAGTCAACGAAGTGCATTATGATCAGTAACTATTTCGAATTTGCGCCCCATGCGGTATAGACGAAAGTATTGGGTGACATAATGAATTGCCAACGCTTCCTTTCTATTTTTCTAATTAATCTATTTTGTTGAGAGTGAATATTTCTTATTAAATTTGAAGTTTTGGTGTGTTAAATTTGCCCACCTTTTTTGTCCTGTGTTTTCCGCTTGTCCAAATATAATCTGGATCAATGCCAAACTCACTAGAAGCAGTGAGTACTTCTTTATTATCAAAGCACTGGATGATACAAATCTTTTATCTTCACGAACAAGTTGATTTATTGAGCCCCTTCTTTCTTCATTTTATCTGCTGATTTGAGCATTGGTGTTGCTTTCTTTGCTTCCTTTTCTTTTGGTACCATGTTCTTCATAATAGTCCTAGTGACAGTGATTCTTTTCTCTAGAAGGGCATCCTGAAGTTGAACACTGGTGAAATACCTGTCTACAAATAAAGAAGTATTTGGTGGGTCTGTTTGAATGAGGCGAAGTACTGCTAAACCTCCTATTGATAACTGAATATAGTGTTGGCATCAGGGAAGACATCTTTTCCCTGGAAAATCTCAAAATCTAGAGCTTCCCCACAAGATGAAGCCAAGACTAAGTTCTTCAGTCTGGATATGGTTTTCCACGCACATATTGTCGAACAGCAACATGTCCAGTGAATGGAATCATTTGTTCATCAATGCAGCAGTGTGATGGTCTTGGTCGGCTAATGCGTGTCTGCCTAACTCTATTCAATAATGGACGTACTTTCCACAGCTTGTCTTGTCGTTTCTTATCTTCTGCTACATCAGCATCAACAACAACTTTAATGTGAGATCGTAGTTTGAAGAACCGATCACGTTTCATAGCTTTCTTGATCGCTGTCACTCCAGTATTTTTACTCCAATACATCCGAATTCTTGGATATTTTTATTTTTCCCATCATGATGTTGATCCCAAAAAACTTTCGAAACTCTTCCGGTGTTGTTCCCAGAGAACGTCCAGTTTGCACTACTGACGTTTGATTTGTAGCTCGAGCAATCATGGCGTACAAATCATTGTCAACATACTGATTAAAATAATCAATTGGATTCTAATGTTTATTGATAGTATCAGCTGTGGGTAGTTGATTACGATCATCAGCATGTTGAGGAATAAATTCTAGGGTAAATGTTGTAGAATGCGACCAATCATGCAAAAGTCATTATCGATGCTTTGCACATGTCACAGTTGGCATCTGGAGTTGACATTTATTTTGCAAATGACATAAAGTATAGTAAAATGCTGAAACATGACCAAGCGAAGAGACTTTGCTATAATTGTCTTTGTCTGCCAAATGAACGCTTACCGCTGCATAACATTGTTTTCAGTGATGCAGGTTGAGTACAAGGCTTAGCGACTAATGACGTCAGTACAATGGGTCTATAATATGCATGCAGAGTTCAAATTGTTTAATTTCAATCTCTCATTACCATTCAGAAACTAATATACTATTCACTCGCAACAAATAGCGTGTCCAATTTGTTGATCAATGTAAGAATTGACGATGGGAACTTCTTACCATCGAATGTGCAGGACACATTTTTGAATGAACATGCAAAAGTTGGAGAGTGATGGAGGGTACTCGAACATAAACACATAATTCGCAGCCATGAAACCAATTGTTGCGGGAACTACTGCAAACTCGCTCGCATTTTCAATTCTTCCTCTGACCAAAATCGCTGGACATACATCATCGATGTCTTTCGTCACATTCTCGAGACGTCCGTGCTCCTATAGAAAAGATTTATTTTCACAAAACACTTCAGCCTGGTGGTACTCCACAACATGAAACTTTTTTCTCAAAAATAGCTTTTCTTTGCCCAGGACTATTGTTCTCAGTGTTTGATGACAAATGGCACAGATTTGAATCTGGTAGTTGCCATAGCAATCAAGATATTACCCCCAGCAGTGAAAAATGGTGGTTGCGCCAGTATTGCAGGACCGAATCACAAAAACAGTGAAGAAAGTTACTAATGTACAAGATCTATTTTTGGCACTAGAATGGTTGTTAAATTCTAAATCTTACTATATTTTTTGCTCAATCAATTTTTCGGTCAATTCGGAGTGACATAACCTCCCATTGTTTGTGATCTACATCAGCAATCTCTACCAATCTAGTACCAAATCCGTGAAATTTGCATTGAAATTTGCAATTAGTATTACAAGGTTTGGTGATAGAAATATGAAATGGCAGTACCTAAATTGGGTCACTATTCACCACAGGCATATGTCTTGCCCTCTTGCGTCTCTTGTTGGTCCTTCTTGGCTTTCCTCTTTGCTCTCACAATTCTTCTCACTGGATTTCACATGAGCCTTGGCGATACGTTGCTTGTCAGCTGAACTACTCCACACTAAGCAATGTTTACCTGGCCTGATGCCCATCTTCTCCAAGGTCTGACAGGAAGCACTGGAACCATTGTTAAAATTAGAAATGGCATCATACACACCCAGCTGCAACACTTCCAACTGCACAAAGACCTGTTTTGGTAGGTGATTCCAAATCATCCCATTGAGCGATTCATTCTGATTCTGGGTTTTGCAATCAAGGCATTTAGTCAGCAACTCATCAACACTCAACCTGACATAGACTGTCTTGATAGCAGTGGCAACAGGTAAAGGTAGCCCTTTACCATGCTTGTATTCCTTGGTTCCTTTAGCCTTGTGTCGCATGAAGCCACACCAACTGGATTCACCTGGTGGACAGTGGTTATGCTAGTTCTTCTCCGAAGAGGCAACATGAAACAGACTGGCCAAAATGGACTTCTTCGTGGGTACAAAGTCACCAGGATTACTCCTCACAGCAATGCCATAATAGTTTTGCAACTTATCGATAACTGTATCTGTGAGCTTGCCTTTTCCGCCCATGCCTTTGTTTTCCTTTCGAAACTTCTGTAGAGCTGTCCCAACCCTCTTTTGTACATGGCCGACACATTCCTTTTTCAATACAGAGACACCATCATTACTAATTTTGTAGACTATGGTCAGTTCTCCATGCTATGTTTTCAGGTGTTTCCTCATCATCTTCATGCTCTGTGCACTGCTTGCAAAAATCTGCTCATTACCTCAATGTCTAAAACTTCCCGCATCCATGGAAATGGTAGTTACGCACCCATGCAAGGAACAGAATCCTCGTCGTTGCCAAGTACCATTATAACCTTGCTCTGCGACGCTTATAAATTATTTTCTAGCTAAACTTTATTCACACACACAAGTATATATATAGGAGGCGGGCATCTCTTTATTGCCGTGACATCGGACATAGCATTTACATCATTTATAATACATTCATACAGTTACATAACTGCATTTAAGCTGAAACAAAAATAAAGCTTTCGTTTATCGGCTTGAGAGAATGCCTCGAATGGCAAACTATCTTATCTTACGTACTTATATGCTGCTAATTAATTAGTCTAACGGGACTAATAAAGTCTCCTCATTGTTCATTACGTAACGCTAAAAAATACATTTGCAAGAAACCCTACATCAGCAACTTCACCCTCTGCTTTTCCTTTCAATGTGGTAATTTCCTTTGCAGCCTTGCTCATGCTCTCTTCGCAAACCTCCTTGGCAGCTTTCGTCAATCCTTTGTTGTGGGCTAAATGAGGTGACGCTCTGGGGATTGGTGGCATGTTCATCAACCCACAAAACCTTTCAGCAGCAGCACTGGCATGCACAACCAACAGACCTCATTGCATACACCAATCCCCTGTTTACTTCAAAAAAGCAACTTATTTTAGATGAGGTGTAGAAATCCTGCTTCCGTGAACATGCCTGACAATGTAGTTCCAAACACATCCCTTGCGTTTTTGAAGGTTTTCGAACAATGCTAACGTGAACTGTTTACATTCTCTACAAGGCAAGGCCTTGAAAACGCCAGAAAGGATTGACAATTCCATGAATCTATAGCCCGTTGGTTCTTTTTCTGTTCCCTCAGTATTCATGGGCTCTGGTGTCTTGATTTTTCGTGCTGAGGCAAAAGGTTGTGGCGAACTTTCAGGTTCAGACATGATCTGATTTTGCATATTATCACCCGAACTCGAAGATAGCCCTGAACGTGCTGGCGCAGTTTGAACATTTTTTTCGCGTTCTTACTTTGCAATATAGCGATTGCCAGGAAACTGCCGCCGCTCTTTAACATAAGCTGAACGAACCTTTGTTATCTTACTAAAAATCGTTCAGTAATAACCAGAAAATACGAAAGTATCTCTCAAAATATAATACACTGTCACAAGATGGCTGCCGAAGTTTGTCTTTAAAAGGTACACGGATACTTCATATAAAATGCAAAAAAACCCAGACATTTCTAACATTTAAAGGAGGAGGGGTGGGAAATACGTTTCGTTGAGCAATCAGACTATAAAACATGCGTTTATTGGCGAATTTACAACAATAAATCGGTTGCTAAGGGCGTTGCTAAGCGCAAAAAAAGTAAGAAACGTATATAAAAGAGTGAATTACTCAAAAGTGAACAAAGAAAACCACAAAAACGGAGCAGATGGTAAGAGAACAATGTTCATAGAACACAAAAACACCAAATTTGAAAATTTGAAGTGGAAGTGCACCTAAATACGTCTTTGCTTTGTCCCAATTGGGTCTTTTGGTGTTGGTTGTGACCATGTTTCTTCAACATGCGTTTTTGGGCTTGTGGTTTTTTGGCCGGTGTTCCAAGGGTCTGGGGTTTCTTGGCTGGTGTTCCAAGAGACTGTGGTTTGTTGGCTGGTGTTTCAAGTTGCCCTCGTTGTTTGATCGGCAAATTAAGTCCTCGTAATTGCTTTGTTTACTTAGCAGCGATGATCAAGCTTGGAATGTTGAGGACACAAGTAAAAAGAAACTGACCTCAATAAATAGTACGAAGTCATTTTCTCCCCGTTCTTTTTCTTTTTTTCTTTATCTTCTTCCCGTCTTTCTTCTCTCCTTTGCTCTGGAGGAGGTATGGCAACACTGCCATGGCAACTTCGGAAACTTCATCTAAATATATCATATAAAAGATATTTGGCACTGATACTCCAATTTTTAAACAGCTATATTGTAGTTGATCTTACGAAGTGAACTCTCCACTTCTTCGTCATCATCGTTGATGTCTCCGTCCCACTTATTCAATAATCGTTGCACTTCCTTGCTTTTTTTGCTTCTAGCAATTTTGATGATCCCATCCACCAACTGGGCAAAGTTCGTCGTAAATGTATTCACAATACTGGTGGTTATGTTCAAAATTCTCTCAAACTCTGCGATCATCTAAAGATACAGGAGAAAGAACATTATATGTACAATAAAGATAACAGTTTCTTGATGATCATGGGGGAGGGGGGGGGTAAAAAGTGTATATAGTTAATATTTTTGTCAAAAATGTTACCAAAAATGAAGAATGAACTATTTTACCTCTTGATAATTGAAAAGAGCTGGATATTCCTCCTTTATTTTCGAAAGAGGTTTCTTTTCATTGATCATCATCCTTCTGTGAGGGAGGGTCACCTCCATTCTTTTTTTTAATTTGGCGAAGTCCGGTGACTTCTTTTTAAGCTCATTCACCATGGTTGTCCTGTGTTGCAGCATGGAATGCTCGTCTTCGCCCTCTGGGAAGGGAGGATCCCAGTTGATACCCCCTCTCTGAAGGGACTTGGCAATCTTCGTAATCTTCTTGTTTTCATTAACTGCCTTCCTTTTCTTGCTCATGACCTCCGGAACCTTTATTGTCTTCCTCTCGTTTTTAAACTTTTCGTATATTTGGGCATACCAGGAGTCCTACGTAAATTGAAATGGTAATAAAGAAAACTAACACATCAACCATGTCCATAATTAAACTTCCAGTTTTTTTAAAAATTGAACAATTTCTAACAGTTGTAAAGATATGCATCTTGATGAAAAAGGTTTATAATTAGAACGGTAATAACATGCCCTCATGAAGCCCGTATATATAACAAAGCTAGTGCATAAAACGCCTAATGTAATTAGACAATATCGGATGCTCAAGTAGTAGGAGTGATAAGAATGCATTGCTACTTGATGGGCAGTGGTAATTTACCAGGAGGTACAGTAACTGCATGAAAACAGTTTTCTTATTTTTGAAAGAAGCAAGAAACCGTTAAATGTATTATCCAAATCGGTATAATCCCAATTAAATCAGGGAACAATAATGCTATATAATTGCCAGAAATATAGATATTACGACTTAAGCAATACAACTTGCAGCAATATATATATAAACCATTTTCATGTATATCATTTTTTGGATTGTACATAAGTCTAATATATTGTGGACTCCATTGACGCATTGCATGTTGAGATGACTTTATTCAATGAGTAGTGAGATGCTTGAGTGATTAAAAACGTACAAGTTTATAATTATTTACATTTATACTAAGTCGATTTATTATTACTATTATTACTAAAGTGGAAGCCCATATTTCCTTAAGAGTTTAAGTCTCTCTTCTTCTGCAATTGAACTATCTGCAGTAATTTTTTTTGGTGATGATAAATTAACCCAGTTTGGTATTCGTCTGATACAATGTACATTGATGATCACCGTCCCTGCTCATATTTAAAGCAAATTTTGGTTTTAGCTTGCTTGTTTTAAAAAACAATGATCGTGCTGCAGGCCTTTCATCATTTTCACATAGTTCTATACTTTAGCTGATAGATGATGCAGTCAATTGCATTAAATTAGTCCCTAACTTACTCCATTCCAATCGATAATCAATATGTCCAAACCAAATAAAAGGGCAGATGCAGTAATAACAGCCTTGGTTGTCATCTCATTCCGCATTCCCTTTATGGTACTATGCCAAGTGGATGGGCATTTATTTCCAAGACGAGGAAAGTCCACATCCGAGAAAAAATCTAGCAGATTTGTTTCCACCAAGTTACCAAACTATATAGAAGAAAATAAATATATACATGATTTATATTAGACTAATTAGTATAAAATATCAGGCATCATGCACTTCACACACAATATCAATATCAATACTCAATACAATAACATAAATAAGTACTTCCCCACCCTTGATATAAAGCTTAATATTGTAATCAAAAGACTTAAATCTTGTATTTTACTATTTTACTTACTTCATTCTCCACATGGACAAACTGGTTCTCAATCATAAAGCTTTCCAACATATTAATAACATCATCGACATTCATATTTAAATGCACCGCTAAACAGCTGTAAAAACAACGATTTCTCTTAATCCCGAAGGATCGTATCGTAGAACAAAGCCAGCCTTATTAGCTTTGATTAAACAGCTCATTCTTCTAAGAACCATCTATAAAAAGCAATTAATACACGCGTGGTCAGTGAAAATTATACGGTAGCATCAGGGGTTAAAATGAAAATACATATTCATTGCGCAAACCATCCCAATAATAATACATACCTTAAATAAAGAAGTATTCCGATCT